TCACTCGTTATGGTCCGCGAACCAGTTGGCCAGCGTAAGCGATTAAGATGCTGAAAGATAGAGTTAATTTATTCTTGTAAAAGAATTACAATAAAATTATACAATAAAATTCACGAGGAAAAAACAGATAATAGACACGAAAGAATCTTCTAGAAGATCCATTGAAGGAATACAGGATGCTATCTGAAGACTATGAACGACACTCGGAAGTAAAAACGCAAAACAGTTGGATTCTATGCGAGCTATCGAACTGCAGTGCCTTTGAATTTGCAGCCGACACTGTGTGTGAAGAAATATACATATCCTTTACAAGTATATAGTTCTTAGATATTCTTTGCAAAAGCCAACAAAAATACATGGAATACAAGAGATCTCTTCTTAATTATTGTGATGAAAGTGATGAAAGAAGGGGAACAGCTTTCTAATTATTGCGTCGTAAAAGCAAATTGACCTGATCTCAGGTAAAGATACGAGAGTCGATTCGTTGCGTCTCGCTCAGCGACGCCTGTTCACGTTCAGGTTTCGTCTTGGACGATCTTCTCTGGGGTGGTTTCAGCGGCTTCTTGGTGGTTTTACCCACTTGAAACTTGTCGGTCAAAATTCCCAGTTAGGAAGACAGCGTTCCACTGAGTTCGGATAGTTTTCGCTGGTCGCTCGTTGCCGAAATTTTCGCCCGTGGCGATTAATTTACCTTGCGAGCCTTTGATATCAATAGTTAGGAATAGTGTCTCCCTTCTTTCGTCATTTCGACCAATAATAAAAAAAAAAAAAAAAAGAAAAATTCGTGTTTTTCTTCGTATTTTCGTATTGGTTTCACTTTGAGTTCATTTTTTGATATCGATGACTGAGGACAGCAGATAGACAAACTTCAGTTCGACGTGTTGATTTGTTTCCTTTTTAAACGTATCCTTTGCTTGTTTGAAGAAAACGAAAAACTAAGGGAGAATTTTGTTCGTGTATTTCTTTCAGAAATCATTCAAGGCTTCCTTAATATTCCATAATTCTTCAGTAATGCCTGTCAACGACAATTACAATTCAAACGATAATTAATTGAAACCATCGTTCTTTAAAGGTTCTCCGCTAAATCCATTTGCAGATCTACAGACAGATATTTAAAGCTGACGTCTCAACTCCAATTTAACTCTTCTGAGGGGACGTCGTACCTAAATCTAGCCAACAGCTCGGACTTGTCCTTTTTTATAATTTGCTGATAATTTTAACGAACGTATGCATTTGGTGTTGCACGATGCGATGTAATAGTATAATATACAGACGCCATAGAATAAAAGCCATAATATAACAAACATAAAACGAAGAGTAGAATTCCAGAAAAAGAAATTTCTGATGATAGTGTAGAATAGCAGTCTATGAAAAATGCTGGAGTGTGTTATTTTCCCAGAGGTTAGAATTACGCGTCATTAACTCTAGCAAATGCAATGCACACGTTGACGATTGCTTTAAATTTAAACGACACCACACAATGTTGGAAAGATATACTTAACAAAATTTTGCGTTAAATACCATTCGAATGATTATTTCCAGCGTTATGTCATTTTGTTTGAAGTGACGATGCTTCGTAAATCAATTGCTGATAGATGATACGAAAGAAGCTTGCCTCGAGGGCAAAAGGTTAATTTCAGCCTCGGTACGTCACTTGAGCCGCCAATCGACGGAGAGGAGAGAAATCAATTTCTCTCGATGTCTCAAATTTCAGTCAGCGCGATCTGTAGGTAGCAACAACGCGTGTTTCTTTTCTCCCTCCGAGAGGCGAGAAATACGCGCAGCTTCCACGATGACGAATCCCACCCGTTGATTAGGAGGACGCGGGCGTGTTTCGTTCGCGTTGCAGAGTGATCTGTAATTTTTCAGCGTTTGAAAATGCCTTAAAAATAATCGCAGCCTGACGCAACGGGCGTCTGGCGTTCGCCTGACGTCGACGATATTCATCAACCCCCCTTTCCCCCTTGAAAGAGATTCGTACAGGTAGAAATAGCACGGCCCCGGTGGAAACTCGAACTCTGAATAAATTCTCGCCTCGAATTTTCATCAAGTAGATCCCGCCGACCTCGGTGAATTTATCTCAATGTGAAAGTTACGGGATAGAACTGTGTTACCAGTTTTGAAGAAAAGAGATCATATGACAAGAAACGCGGGATCATCTTAAAACCCGAAGCCTCTACTTCCAAAGCGAGTTGTTCAATTTTTCATCTAAAATATTTTTACCTTTATCTCTACGTACTTGTCACGGTACGTAGGAAAATTGCACGTTGAAAAATTGTTTTCCCTGATTGAAACTACGATGGATTGAGAAGATCGAAGCCTCCTCTTTACAACTACCTCCGAAAATCTGACGTATGACCTTTTTCTCACCGTTTCATCGAATACTTTGAATATTACGTTTGAATGAAGTTTCAAGTGAAGTATCTGATGTTCAAAGTTCAAGAAATTGGCGATGAAAAATCGTACAGTAAGTTCACACGAAGGGAAAGCTTTGATCTTCAAATCTATTATAGTGTAAAAACATTCATGGAATGAAATGAACGACGCGTTTTTGAGAGTAGAGACTTCAATCTTTAGAATAGGCCCGAGTTATTGTTGTACGATTTCTTTTTACAAAATTGTAACAGTTTTGTTATTTAGTGTCCCAATTATTAATAGAAATAGAGGGACAATTTTGTTAACTGAGAGTGTTAAAATACAAAATCATCACACGAAAGAATTAAACAGATATACAAAGCCAAAAGTTTCTTCCCATCTATTTTTTTTTCTTTTTTCTAAATAAAACATTAAAATGTAAAAGAAAACTAATTTTATTAAATTTAGTATGTTTCAATCAACAGAAAAATTTTTTTAAATATATAATAAATAAATCACGGATTCATTTCAGTAGGAAGTGAACTCAACTTACTACGCAATGTTTCAAAGTTCTGTTTTCTCAATTGCAAAAAAAAAAAAAAAAAAAAAAAAAAAAAAGAAAGAGGCATCGATCGAAATTTTCCCTATTGACGTTTATTTTCTTATTGAATTTCGTACTAAAAGGTTGCTCAGCACGAGCGTTTCACGCGAGATGTAGTATCTAATGTTTAGTTAACTTTTAAAATACATTTTCTCCCGCCAGCGCGAACGCCGCCCTTCAAAAATCTGTACAGAGACGACATCTGGATTTCTAGAGCTTTCCTAGAGCGAACGTTCCCCGTGGGCGGCAGCATTGCTGCCAAAACAAAGCTTTTCTTGGCTCTACGGATAAACAAATTTCGAGAAAATAGCTGGCTTTTCAACGACTCCGCGCCGGTGTAAGAAAATATTCGGCACGTTCTAAACGTTTCGTTAGCTTTCGTATTAATATATATTCTCTTCAATCGATACTTGCCTACAGATATACAATTTTCGTACAATTATGTTACAACTTTCAGTTCAAGTTTCTTCGTTGCGTAATCTTTTTCAATTTTCACCAGATTAAAAAAAGAAAAAAATGGTCACGATTAACTTGCCATTTTAAAGTTTCCTTTGCGCGTGTTGTTTCTGATATTTCTTCTGTAATCGAAGGTTAGACGTTTCGAGGTTTCGTACGACACAGAGTTTTATTCAATTTTATCGAAATTACGGATGATTAAGTGGCTGATAAATTCAGAAGGACTACCGGTGTTTTCATTGCGTTATCCGTCTAACAAATTTCCCTCGAAGACGCTGCTGGGCCGCGCAACGAGCAGCATCTAAATCTTTCTTATGACTCGACTATCTTTCCCGTGCCACAAACACCATTAACTCTGCTTATATAATCAGCCCGTTTACCAATATATTTCAATCTGAGGCAATGCATAATGCGCGTTTGTTCCTTTGCGAAGAATTGCTACGTTCACCAGATCGATGTCGTAAATTTTTAATTCGTATCCGCGCTGAGAAGCGCGATTGTTCGCGAGAAGACAAAAACGAGCACTCACCGTCATCAGAGTCGTTCAGTCAAAGGTTCAATATAGCGACGAGATCCATCGAATCGTTATCTTTGGAATTTTCTCACTCTTCGCGATCGTCAAACGTCGTTGTAATTTCACTCGGTAATCCCGCTCGAGACGAAAATTCCATCGGCACAAGAACCATGCTCTTCGAATACTCGCGTTACGCGTTCTGTTTCTATTCTTTTCGCCTTCTCTGTCTCGCACAAGTGAGATCGTTCTGTAGAAGTTGCTACCGAGATATTTCACGTGGCGTTAATATTTCTCGCGGCGTATTTATGAAAATTATTTACCCGTTGGGAAATTCTCGCGAGAGATCGAGAGTGGCTAGATGGAACCGCGACAGCTGCCGGCCGGACGCGAAGTTGGCGCGTTTGGCTAAGTTTCGAAAATAGCACCGGATTCGACGCCCGTGCGTCTATTTGTAGCAGAAAAGAACCAACCAGGTCAGCCACGTTCGCTCCGTGAAAATTCCCTAGCGATCTAGTAAAGGATCCATGCCCCCCCCCCCCCTCTCTTTCCCGCTCTTTGAAAACATTTCGTTCGCGATTTTATTCGACCTTTTTCTTTTTCAGAGACGCGAGAATTATTTTTAAACGATCCGGGCAGTTAATTCTGTTTTTTTTTTTTTGAATGTTCGTTCATTTCGTTCTGTTGAGAACACGGCATGCGAACGTAATTCTCGTTCTACTACGTGTCTCGGATGAAATTTACATAACCTTTGCTACGATATTATAAAACGTGATACAACCTTCCTCTCACGGTCCATTGTGTTTCTCGATAAAATATTTCAATCGCAACGTGTGCTAGACTTCATCGTGAAACAATATTATCTCTCTTTCGTAGTTGTATTTTCTTTTTAATAAAAGGAGACACGTTTCAGGCAGTTTTCTATTAAAAGTGGTGTGTACCAGAACCACTCGAAATAAACGTGTCGTCACAAATTTCTCTGAGTTTCAACTGCGCGAAATCGGTCAGAAACAGTCCCAAAGTGATCCCGACTTACGGGCGAAACAATAATCCGATAATATCGGTTGAACCCTTTACCTTGCTCCACTTCAGCGTTAATGTGAATAGTCCTCAGTCTCAGCTCTTCGTTCTCGTAAATCATCCCCCTCGAGGACTTCCGGTCGAGCTTCCTGTTTGGCTTCACGCTGCAATCCCTGCGCCTGGCCCTCAGCATCCCGGCCCCGCCACCCACGCTCACGCCAGCACTCGTCATCATTTTCATTAATTTAATAGTTTCACAGTCGCGATAAATTACAAATATATATATATATTTCACTTCACTTAAAAAACAAGAAGAAAGCGTCCTATCGCAACGAATTGCAAATTCGTGTCATTTCGTTTCTTCTTCGAAACTCTGAAGCCTCGTTTTTGGAATCGAAGTCACGCTCACTGTGTTCTGTCGATCACGCGGCTGCATTCGAGAGAAATGGGAAAGTCACCAGCCACGAGGGGAAAATCTGTAGTTTACGAGAAACGGGACCGACAGTCTCTCCCGGTTTCGGCGCAACTTTACGGTCAGCCGCGACTCGTTTCACATCCGGGGTTTGTACTTTCGCTTGACGACCGCGGTGGACGCGTTGAAACGTATTGCGCCATTAAGGGGCGGGTTTTAAAGCCCTAAAGGGCGTTCAAGTGGCGTTTAATCTTACGCGAAGCTTTTTAGATTGGATTTGCGGCGTCTGAACTTCCTTCAGATTTTCTTCTTTATGGGCGGGCTTGCCCTGGAATCTTTCTTCCTACCAACTTTCTCCGCTGCTTCGTCCTCCTTTTTTAATCTCTCTCTCTCTCTCGCTTTCTCTCTGGGACATCAACTTTTTCGCGTCTCTCAACCACTCACCCTGGCTCGTTTTGTTCCCATCTTGGATCTTGCTTCAACGTAGTTCTTTATTTATCTGAGATGTCTCTGTGTCTTTGATCTTGAAAATAATTAATTCCAACCTTTTCAAGTAACCCCAAGACTTTTCTTCACTCGTCCTCTCTTGGAAATTCCTAACACACCACCTTTGGAGTTACGATCCCCCCCCCCCCCTTCAATTTTCTCTTCAGTCAGAATCAAGCTCGCGGCTCTTAAAAGCAAATATCGCCTCTTGAGCTTCTGAAATTCCCTCCACGTGTCCACCGTTATTCTCCGCGCCGCGCCTCTGTCGTTCAATTTTCAGCTTCTTCTCCCCCCCCCCCCCCCCCTGGTCTTCTTCTTCAAAAAATCTGCGCCAACAAAGATAAGAAAATTCCTCGGAAACTCTTCGCTCCGTGGAAAGTCAGCGCGCGTGAAGGTCCCGTGAAAAGGACAGGTTGGACGGAAGTGGTGCCGGGCGACCGGCTCGATCGTAAGACCGCGAGGCTGCCCCCGGCAGCGGAAACTGCGCGCTTTCCATCGAATTGTCGCGCGTTCGCGCGTCCAAATCCCAACGTTGAATTTGCATCATCCGTTCGTTTGTCACGTCGCGTTGTTTCTCCGCTGCAATTTGCCTGCCCATTATTCAAGCGTTTATCAGCGCTCTCAATCCTCTCCCTCCCCCCTCCTCTCTCGCGTTTCTTTCTTTCAATTTATTCGCCCGCTTCCGGTTTCCCCCCCTCTCTGTTTCTCTCGCTTCGACTCTTCGAACTCGCAAGTATTTATTCGCGCCGCGAGATCTTGTCGCGCCCCCGTCGAGAGTCCAAGCTATTTTTTTCTTTTTCTTTTTTTTTTTTCTTTAAATAAAGGGGGGAGAGACTTTCGCTGGATCCGAACTTGGCTAAACGTTCACCAGACGATTCGCGCTGGATCCTTTTCGGATTTATCTCTTTCGCGGATGATTCTTGAGGGAAATCAGAGTCGCGTTGCTGATCTTCGAGACTTGGATTGGAAATCTTGGAAATCTTCGTGGTGTTTCGTTCGTAGATCGACTTTACAAGCTTCGTAGATCTTTGATTCTAAAGTTAACCTTCGTCTTCCTTCGATTTTTTTCTTTCTTTCTTCTTCTTCTTCTTCTTCTTCTTCTTCTTCTGGAAGATGATTCGAATATTCCGGTATCCTCCACGCGACACTGCGATACTTCCGCCAAAATGAATTTTCACCAATCAAGTACGTTTCTTCTCGAGTCTCTCAGTTGGTCCCCTCAGTTTTGGTTCGTGTCTCTGTGAAAAATGAAGGAAAATTCATTAACGTTTCGAGCAACGAATTCCTCTGTACAAACGAGCGTACAATTATCATTATTATTATTCCGCACGCGTGAAAAATCGGTTTCGGTTATATCTTTACACAGCTCCCGTGTGCGTTTAATTTAATCGCGATTTCATAGTCGGTTCGACTGCGACGTTCAAAAATTCAATGGAAGGTTAAAATTCAAAGGGGAGGGACCAAGATTCGGAGATAAATAAAGATAGACAACGAAATGTTATTTACCGGCGCTGTCGTTTGAAACGAAACGAAGATTCGGGCGAGCGCGACAGAGTCTGAAATCTCCAGGCCAAATCTGATTTCCGTGCTCGCGAGCAACCAGGAATCGCAATGCTTGCGAAAGATCAAACAACGAGCATCAAACGCAGCGGCAACCGCCGGGTTCTCCGCGCGCGTAACATTATTTCGGGCGAAGCAATTAAAAATATCCCCTTGAACCGCGCGCGTGTCCGCTTCGTTTTCCACGTTCGCGTTCGTCCATCTCGCGTGTTCAAAGCCAACGAAAAAAAAAAAAAAAAAATCAGGACTTCGTTTCAAAAGGCACTTGGTTACCAACCGGCGTGTCCGCGAAATGAAAATCAAGCAAAAAGGGAACCAAAAAAAAAAGAAAAGAAGAGAAAAAATGAAGAAGAGAAAGGAAAACGGGTGGGGGAGAGGAAGGGGGGGGGGAAGATCGTATCCAGCGCAAAGAGTTAAACAACCGCGATACCACCCGTGGAAAACATTAGCAAAGAGAAATCGAGTGAACGTGCGCGCTCAAAGGGCTCGCGCGTTACGCCCGTGAAATTGAAACCCTGCCGGGCGAAAAGTGAACGGGGAAGGGAAAAAAAAAAGAAAAAAAAAAGGAAGAAAGAGGGAAGAGGGTGGAAAACAACCCCCCGGTTTACAGAGAGTGGTGTTGCAGCGAACGTTGAAAAATTCGACAGGTCGAAAAATGCAGGTCGACCGCGGGTGATGCTGAATCTTCGCGTTTCGAGCGTGTTTTCCTCGCGAGCTGTTCCGAGGGACGGTCGATTAAATCCTTGCGCTGGCAACTGGCTCGCGGACCATAACGAGTGACCGAGCCGTATACAACGACCCAAACCTAACCTAAACCTTCTCAAAGCTGAAGTTTCGCTGTTTAAAGCGGAAACCAAGTGGATCGTTATACGTGTGATCCTCTTTTACGAAGTTGTGTGTCAATTGTCGGCAATCCTTCATTGTCTATTCGAACATTTATGCTCTTCGCTATAGATTACTTGACTTTCATCGTCTCATAAATTTTTTTTCTACGCCTGACGTGATTGTTAACCCCTTGCGCTGGCAACTGATTGCGGACCATAACGAGTGACCGAAACCGTATACAGTAATACGTCGTTTTCTTTTTCTTTTGAATTCGTCGGTAGGACATCATTGGGTAGAAATTATTGAGAAGTAATAAATTTATTATTCATTTTACCTGGATTATACTTAAATCTACCTAAAACTGAGAAAATATTGCAATTTTGGGACAAAAATATTCTCGACGTGCGTCATTCAAGCGCAAGAGATTAACCACGTTGCGCTGGCAACTGATTGCGGACTATAACGAGTGACCGAAACCGTATACAGTAATACGTCGTTTTCTTTTTCTTTTGAATTCGTCGGTAGGACATCATTGGGTAGAAATTATTGAGAAGTAATAAATTTATTATTCATTTTACCTGGATTATACTTAAATCTACCTAAAACTGAAAAAATATTGCAATTTTGGGACAAAAATATTCTCGACGTGCGTCATTCAAGCGCAAGAGATTAACCACGTTGCGCTGGCAACTGATTGCGGACCATAACGAGTGACCGAAACCGTATACAGTAATACGTCGTTTTCTTTTTCTTTTGAATTCGTCGGTAGGACATCATTGGATAGAAATTATTGAGAAGTAATAAATTTATTATTCATTTTTCCTGGATTATACTTAAATCTACCTAAAACTGAAAAAATATTGCAATTTTGGGACAAAAATATTCTCGACGTGCGTCATTCAAGCGCAAAAGATTAACCACTTGCGCTGGCAACTGATTGCGGACTATAACGAGTGACCGAAACCGTATACAGTAATACGTTGCTTTCTTTTTGAACACGTCGGTATGATATCGCTGGATAGAAATTACTGAGAAGTAATAAATTTATTGTTTGTTTTGCCTATTTCTAAACTGAGAAAATATTGCAATTTTGTGACAAAAAGTTATCGATGTGCGTGGCACGTCATTCCAGCGCAAGAGGTTAAAGCGTTCGCCCGTGGGCCGAAACGTTCGCGCTTCCCAACGGGAGATGTACACAGGGAATGGGGAAACATTCACGCTGTTGAGCGTCGCCAGAACGTAAATCTGTGCTTTGAAGACCGTTTTTGGCTGTGGTCGTGTACTCTCTCTCTCTCTCTCTCTCTCTCTCTTTATCTATCTATCTATCTATCTGTATGTATGTGTGTATGGTACACGAGTAAGTCTGTGACATCAAAGAGGAAGAGGTCTGGGGCAGAGAGGATGAAAGCACAGGTGCATATCGTCGTTTCGTTCGTTTGTGGGCTGCTGCGTTACTTTTTCGGTTGTGTATGGCTGCACGAGGAGCAGATTCGGAGGAAGAGATGGCAGATGGACCGAGGAACGAGAGAGACACGCGAGTGAAGGTTCAAAGCGGGACGAGTGGATGGAACTGCGAGGTGAGAGATGGAGAGATTGGGATAAAGAGAAAGAAGAGAGGTGGACGTGTAGATGGAGGAGTGGAAGAAAGGATGGAGAGCGATTGATAATAAGGGGGATTGGCGGGTGGCTGTAGATTAAAATCGGAAGACGGAATTCGAAGTTTGGGAATGAAGAGAACAGAGGTTTCAAGGGTAACATCGAAATACGACAGTGACGAATTGAAGTGAAAGAGAAATGTACGAATGACGCGGTGAGATTGTCGAAGAAGAGAGCGTGTAATTCTAAAAGAGAATGAGAGTGTGAGAGTGTGAGAAAAGTAGGATTTAAAAATAAGGCGAGAGAGAAAAGATCGAGGAATGGTAAATTATAATTGGCAGAATCCCGAATGAAAGAAATAGGCGTTTGCGGGATAACAAAATATCAATTAGTTTATTAAGATATCATATATAATAAGCAGCAAAGTAAAAAAGAAACGTACGAATGACACAATTTGTAGATGGAGGATAAAGTGCGAAAAGAAGAGAAGACGCAAAATGACGAGATATCGAAGGGAAAGCAGAGACGAAAACACGCGTCCGGGGAAGCTTAATTAGAAAGGTGAATGAAACATCGGGAAACGAGGAAAGAATCTCGAAGAGAAAGAGAGGAGAAACTTTGCGATAGCAGAGATAAAGGAGAACAGAAAAGGCAGACAATGTCGAAACAAAGCGATGTCGTTGAACGGAGAAGCGAGAAATTTAACGAGTGCACCGGGAAAGAGAAAGAGGGAGAAATGGACGATGAAAGGGAGATTGAAGGAAAACATCGAAAGCAAGTGGAATCGAGTCGCGGGAAAGCTAAAGGGATGGGAATCTGAGGAAGAGGACTTTGAGGGGAACAAAATCTGGAAGATGAAGAGCTCGAGAGGGCACGGAATTGAAAGAAACACACGGGGGCACTGCCGAGTGAAACGTGGAAAACGAAAAGATGCTCCACCGACGAACGATCTGATGATCGTTGCAAAATAGTGCCAAGAGTTGGACAAAATTCGAATTGTACAATAAAGACTTGATCGAGGAGAGGAAGAAAGGGATCGAGAAAGGGCACAAAGAGGTAGATTAGGGGCCTTAGAGGGCAGATCAAAAGATACGAGAACTCGAGAGACTCGGCGGAGAGAGGACGATGAAAGATCTAAATAGACAAGAATTAAAAGAGAGGGATTTAGAAGAAGTGTTCTTCATCCGTGGGATGAAGGGGGCTCGTAGCTAAGGAGGAGAGCCAGTAGAGGGAGAAGGGTCAGTAACTAAAGAGATTAAGGCATGGAATCCTAGAAAAAAGGGGAGCTCAAAGAGACGTGCACGAGGATTAAGAGAGAAGAGAGATCAAATGAAGAGGAATTAAGAGTCGAAGATTTGGAGGAAGAAGAGGCATTGGTGCGTGGCCGATGCAAATAGACGTACATACATATGTACGTGTGCACGAGGAGGAACGAACGACCGAATGAGTCAGAAATCGGTGTCAGAACACGAACGTTGTTAAATCGGGAATTTTGTTACTAAATAATAATTTTATATATATATATATATATATATATATATATATAAAACTATAACTGTAATTATATATAATTATATAGTATGTATTATATAGTATAATTATAGTTATATATATAATTATAAAATATATATATTTAGTATATAATAAATTATAATATATATATTTATTATATAATATAACTATAACTATGATAATTATAACTAAATAATGCGAACTCTTTGCCCTCGACAACATTTTTTATATCATTTACTACAGCTCATTTGTTTATAAAATAGTGAGCGAAGCATCGCTTCAAATAAAATGATATAACATTGGAAATAATGATCCTGTTTAAATGGTATTTAGCATGGAATTTTGCTGATTGTATTTCTTTAATTCGTTTGAAACAGTCAAGTATAGTATATAAAAGTTTAATGACCCATAATTTCAATCAGTTGAGAAACTTCCTTCTCCATTTTATAAATTCTCGTAAGAAGCAACAAGAAGTTTAATTTGTGTGAATTATCCCGAATTATTCGAACAACAATCCGACGATTGTCAACTGCCTCTATCCTCGAGAATTTCTTCTTGCGAAATTTTATTATTCCTCTCACACCGATGCATTATATCATGCAACGCCCTACCTACGTTCGTTATAATTACCAGCAATTATAAACAATTTTGAATAAATTGAAGTACGATGCCCCCTTGTACATTACAAATGCACGTAATTTAGTGTTACAAAAATCATTCTAGCAAGCCATCTGGAAAAACGGTAGTCTTCGATTTGCACGACTTCGAACGCGTTGAAAAGCATTTAGGAAAACAGAAGATAGTTGGCGGACAGAAGGGTAGAAAGGAGGGGGAGGAAAATATCAAAGGACGAAGTTTCTCCGGTGAATTCATCAGTCCATAAAACGCTTTGACAATCTGCAGGCGTAATTGATTTATAAACAACTGGCTGGAGATTGCTTTCTCTTGTAACTGTTTTGAATTCCCGGACACCGGTAATTAGGAGAGGGAAAACAGGGATTTTCGAGCACACAATTATTGTTACATCAGCGGAAGCGAGGTTAATTTGTTCAAAGAACCACGGCTCCGCCTGGCCACGTTTTAAGCAGGTATGTTTGTTTGCTCGGTGTCTGACTCTGCACGGTGTTGCTCCACTGTCGCCGATCATTAAAATTTGTTTTCATATCCTCGCGGATCTTCCTGTGTTGACGGCTTCAATTAGTTTCTATTTTCATCGAAATAAACGTCTCGACTCGGTGGCTCTCGACCTCTCCTTGCAACAATTTCACGGCACGCGAACATTTCAAACAAAATTCGCTCGTCAGAATCCGACGAACTTCAAAAATACGAAAAATTGAAGGAATACAGAGGTACTAACGAATCCAAACCATAAATCCATAGAATTTCGGGAAACTTCAAAGCTACAATAGCGTAGAAAGATCTAAGAAACGAATTGGTAGAGTCCGAAGGACTTGAAAATTTGCAACGATCGTTATTATTTCTCTGATTGTGATATCAATTTGTCTTCGTACTTACTTTCCATTGCACAGGCCACGTTCACGCTAGCGAACATCTACAATTCTATCTTCTGTCTATCGTTTTTCAAGAATTCCTTAGGTGGACGGAGCTTCGCGATCGAATTTTCGTCCAGAGGTTTGCCCATCAGCTGTTGTGCGGCTCAGTGCTGCGAACAGAAACTCCCATCAGAATAACATTTCCTACAGATATCGACGATTCCTACTTCCCTACTGTTTTACAAATAAACAAAATAAAAGAATGAAATTCTGCAGGATGAGCGGATATTTCCGCCGGTGAAATCAGGCAGCATTCATTCGGCCTCGAAGGGTAGAGGAACAACAAATTTTCAAACGACAATCAGCAGCAGTTCGAAACTTCCTTCTTGTTTTTTTTCCTCTCCATATATATATATATATATATCTTTTTTCCTCCATTCCCCGAGGGAAAGTTCACGAGGGGGGGTTGGAAGCGAAGCTCGAACGGAATATTCGCGGCCGTAATCACGTTCATTTGAACGCGGATGCATTTTAATGCCGGCAGCGAATCGGGTGAGGAAGGAGAGAGGGGACTGGATTCGCGAAAGTTGTCACGCTGCGGGGCAAAAACTTAGGGCTCGTTAAGAGCTCGAGGTGCGTTCGCGTGACACTTATCAAAGCAACGGCCAACCTTCTCCTCCTCCTCCTTCTCCCCTCTGAGGGAGGGAGAAGAATTAACGAAGAGGAGTGTCGCTTCTCGCCAACTTTGTGAATTTTTCTGATTAGCGTCTTGATGAATCTGGCTCGGCTGGTATATAAGAGTTCTTTCGGTGTTATCCGCGACTTCGAACTTGATGGAATAATTTTGAATCTCGTCTCTTTTCTCCCCCCCCCCCCCTTTATGTCAGTTGCTGAAGACGCCACGTAACACGTACGTGCGAAAACTGTGGAAACTGGAAACTCTGGCGGTCCAAGTGTGCCGATCTCGATCACGATCTCGAGCGAATGTTCGGATCGAAATCTAAAATTAGGCAGTTTGTTAACCCGACCTGGTCGTAAACCGTGGCCACATTCGTAAATGAGAAATCGCGGAAATGAAAAGTCGCAGAGCTGGGACGGCACTGACTATGTCAAACTGAGGCTGCTGCTAGTTTCGTTTCGATCTTTATTGCCCTATCAGATTTACAGCGGTGTAGCCCAATGAGTGTCTGATTTTTGGAATTTGGAAAACGATCGTACCAATCGCCAATATATCGCGAATAATTGATGAATTTTCACACGCAGATTAATCAGATCGGTTGAACGGGGGAATTTCATTTGTAACACGTTCGTTTGATATAAAATTCCAAAGGAACGAATGAAAATCGACGCGAGTGTAAGAAAATTGTTTATTATTAAGAAAACTTGGATCACGGATATATATCCGACGCCAGTTCGGATCAGCGGCGTTTTATAGACGAAAAATATACTACGGGCCACCACCTGGTGGCGCGGTTTAACGATTTCCGGTCGCGATTTTCGATACGCATTTCCATGGCCGTGAGTTACGTTCGATGGATTCGTACAACAGACGAGCTGCTAGAATGAAATTACGCGATCTAAAGATGTTACTTTTTAATTTTGCTATTGCCATAGTGTGTAAAATATTCTACCAAGACCCAAAAGTATAACAAATTCTGAGAAACCATCAAATAGAGGAAAAAAGATTCGAAGAATTCGAGGAATCTACAGATAATAAGTGATTCAAAATAGACCCAAAGAATCTCGAGAATCCAAGAAATTTCATGCAAAGACTTATGAGAAATTCTAAAAAAAGTCTAAAGAGCTTGGAAAATTAATGGACTAATAATCCAAAGAGTATATAATCCAACAAAATTTCAAAGCATGCAAAGATCTACGAATAAAATTCGTAGAATCCGAAGAACTTGACAAATTTGGAAAAATTCAAAGAACCTAGAGACACTGATGATCCAAAATAACCCCTCCCTTCCCCCCGAAAAAAATTACCGAAGTTCCAAGAAATTTAAAAAGATTCGCCATTTAAAACGATTTTTAAATGAGAATTCATAAAGTTCGACGAACTTGAAAAATTCAAAGAAGATCCTGATGACGCTAATGATCCGAAATAACCCCCCTTCCAAATACCGGACATTTCATAGCTTGGAAATGAAATTTTCACATAAAAATTCGTAGGATACGGAGAACTTGGAGAAATTGGAGAAATTCAAAGATCTCCCGACGAGCAGAAATCATATTATCCAATGAGACGTCGGTATTTCTGCGATGTAACCAAGGTTATCGTTACACCGCGAAACGGCTCGATCAGAGAGGGTGAAGAGACGAGCAGACGCGGCGCGGCGCGGCGTCGGCTGCACGCGAAGAGCGGTTGCACTCGCGACACGGTCGAGATAACGACAAGCCATGGATTACTCGCGCGACACGTGTTGCCGACGTTTACCCCGCGTTTCACGTTAACATGTGCATCGGCGTCGTTCCGCGTAAGTGCGCGCCGAAGTGCGCGTGCACGTGGTTTCGGCCGGGACGATCCTGTTGCGGATGATTTACATGCGGTCGCGCCAGCGCAACGCCAGCTGGCTTTGCTCGCCGCGCACGATACCGTCGTACTTTCCCTCCGCGCGCGCGTTTTCCATCCTCGTCGCGGTTCACTGCCCCCCCCCCCACTTTCACCCCCTTTCACCCCTTCTCTGGCTTTGCCAGCCACTCGGTGGGCAGACGACTACGATTCCTCTCGTTCTCGTTCTCGCTCTCGTGGTGATCGGTCGGTCGGTTGGCGCTCGATTTTTAGGGGTTAGGACCTGGGTCGAAGGGTGGCTTGAATTTTCAACAGCCGGAAGAATCGGTAATAGGGTGGTTTCACGCCGCAGAAGCCTTCTTCGGTTAGCCTCGCCGAGACGATCGAAAGTAGATGGAACGTGTAAAGTGGAAGTGGGTTCTAGAAGCGGGGACAGTTATTCCGGATTCGTGATCGAGGGCGACCCGCGTAATTCGTTTGTCGTCGCGGCGGGGATGTGTTAAAGAACGGTGGCGTGTATTTTATTGGAAACGGATGACGTGCAGGGCTCTACACAGCCCCAATAAACATATAAACGTAACGTAGCGAGGGACATTATCGTCAGAGTTCCATGAAGCAATTGCTAAAGAAAATTACTTCATGGAACTCTGATCTTTGTTTGAGGTTTCGGTCGAAAATGACCCTCTCAATCACTTGATTGGCGCACAATCTCCCTCAAAAGCAGGTTTTTTTTGAAAATTTTCTTGCTACCCCAAACACAAATCAAACTAAACAACCAAAATGATCAGGTAAATAATAATAAACAAACCCCTCGTGTTAAATGCAGCTAACGGGGGTAACAGCATCCCAGATACTATTGGATACGATTTTTAGTAATCTGGTTAATCGGAGTAATTTAATCGAGATGCAGAATATATGTGTATGTATTCTTTAAGAAGGAACATTCCTATCAACAGCAAGAGTATATCTTTTCGAATTGTGATGTTGCAGAAAATATTTCCTATCGAACAGGAACGGTATCGAAAGGTAATACTAATAACCGGCAAGAATATTTTTCTTCCAAAGTCATTTTTTCAACGAGTTTCCAAGTTCATTGTTTTTTTTCACACGACTCTATATATATATATTTATATATGATAAATTAATATACACAATAAAATAATAATAATATAATAAATTTCTACGTGAAATTTAATTTTTTAAGCAATAAAAAAAATATATATATTAATAAAATTATAATTAAATTTAAGTTTCACGTAGAAATTTATCCGTATCTTATCGAGACGAGAGAAACGCGACAATGGAGTGCCTGGCAACAAACAGAAAGGGTAAGAAGCAAATCCCCAATTTTCACCTAAAGCGACAACAACAGCGAGGCGAGTCTCTCTCTCTCTCTCTCTCTCTCTCTCTCTCTCTCTCTCTCGCTGACAAACGTCCAAGTACTTTGCATTGTCCGTTTCCTATCTCAATAGGCACGGGGAGGTACTTTTCACGGCGGAAGCGAAATAGAAAGCGTAACAACGCCGAGCAGCCGCGGAAACTCCATTGAGAAAGTCCGATGGCTCCGCTCTGGCGATAGAATAAATCACGGCGAACTGGCCTTGAAAGACGCGACTCCGCCGACCACTTTAAACCGCGAGCGGGGCAGACACGGGCGAACTAACTTTGTCCCCGCGATTTCCAGCCGTGGCTAATTGAATTCGATCGAAAATACTCGTCTAATTGCAGCGTCGGGCTTGCCTCTTTCTCTCTCTCTCTCTCTCTCTCTCTCTCTCCTTTGGATTCGCTCCGCGCGGAAAGTGGGGCTGAACTTTCCAGTTTATGGAACTGAATCTTAAGTGGCCGACCCTCCAATTTAAACTTGGGTTATCGTTCTGTCCTCGAAAGCGGGTTACCGTGTACTCACACCCCCTTTCTCTCTCTCTCTCTCTCTCTCTCGCCTCCTCTCGCCGTGAATCAAACCCTCTTCTGTCCCTTTACTTACGTGCCGTCGAACTCGAGCAACTGCCGAACTGGCGAATCGCGACTCCGGGTAAATTGCACGGTGGAATTTTTCTCAAAGCGCGGAAGCGAGGAGTTTCGAAGGGAGGGATGCGCGTGATTCATGCGCCCGCCGAGGAAATTGATGACCCGTTCGAGAACGACGGAGCACGAGGAGCCTTCGTGACCCAGAAGAGCAAGTTTCTCCCGAAACAGAATGTGAGTTTGGATTCACCATTGAGAACTGAGAGTCGTTTGTTCAGCCATTTGTGTCGATGGTTTCTTTCGATTGAAACATTTTACGCGTTAATGATTGTGAACGAAGCGTCCAGAGCGATGTACAAAGCGATGAGCGAAAGTGAACATGCTCGTGGGATTTTATATCGTTAATAATATTTTATCGAATGTTTGGTTTTTTTTTTTTTTTTTTTTTTGTAGGACGTTTTGGTTTTCCCAAGAAGATTTTAGCCAATTTTGCGCCGTAATTAATTTAAATGGAAAATTATCTGTACTTTGGATTGTTACAACTTCGTAAAAGAGTAATCGTAGCAATCTACTTGATAAATCGGAGAATTTTTTTTTGACCGTGAACTCGTCTTTTTCTCCCAAGACACTTTAACTTCATGGAAAGTGTCCTTCCTTCTAAAAGAATTCCAAAAATTTACATGTGTGCAAAAAAAAAATATGATTAAATCCTTGGTGATCTTGAAAATTGAAGTGTTACCCTTTAAAACTTGCTGTATAGTTCTTTTTTCTTCATCAATTTTTTGGACTTTGAACATTAGAGTTGAACGACAGAAACTCAAAGAATCCTAATTCCCTATTTTGTCGTGTTTAATGAAACTGCAAAAAAGAAAATCGTACAGCAAGGTTGAAGGAAAATTTTTGATCTTCAACACTCTTTGCTGGAAGAAATTTTTTTAATATCTTTAGAGATGTTCGAGTTCACGAGAATGAAAGAAACAACTCAGGGTAGTCAAAGTAGAAGCTTCGTAGTTGAGATTGTCGTACAATTTTCTTTTACAAACAGTTTAAAACAGCTTAAAATACCGACAGTTCAGTCATGTTCTTCATTGTATATATTAATTATTAAAATTCTCTTGCTAATCAGTCAACAACAGTCAGTGAAATTAAATTGCTCTACGAGTAACAAGTAAGTAATACTAAAACACTTCAAAGCCTTACATTTCTTTTCCACTTTTTAATAACCAGTTACGTGCATATATCAATACTTGCATCGAATAAAATTCTCTTGTCACTTGATGCGCGTGACTCACGGGTCGAGAGAAAATCGATGGTGTAAGTGGACGGTTGGAAAGTAGGGGTGGGAAGATTCTTGACCTATTGGAGTTGTTCCCAAGTAGGAAATTCGAGTTGGTCGAGCGGGAAGACGGTGAAAGGGAAAGAATTGGAAAGTTTGCGCTTTGATGGACGCGGAAATGTGGACTGAAAATTGATTTTCTGTTTCGATGACAGAGGGGCGGGATTGATGGGACGAAATTGAATCTTTATGACGAGAGAGCATGTGTTTCCTCGGAACACGTACTCGGTGCTTGCTCGGTAGAGCTTTCTGCAGACCGAATTCTCCAGATCACGTGCTCACGTTTGCGTCTCTGATTTTTGTTTCAGGTGAGCCTTTGTAGCTTGTGCCAACTGTGTCATACGTAAGTGAACAACGGTACTTTTATTTAAATTAATTCATTGATACTCTACTTCAAGAATTTCGAATAAAATTTAATTAAAAAGATCGTTCCCATTTTGCAATTTTATTTTATGTACAAACGATTTAGACGAAACGTTTATCTCTCTCTCTCTCGACAGTTTGTTTCGCTTCACCAGTCAGCAGCTCTTTAACGTCTAAAAAAAAAAAGAGAGAGAGAGAATCTCTCGAGCGTGTAAAGAAAGAAATATAATAAAGCTCTCGTCAGGAAGGTTCTACCTCTCGTTTCTGGTAAATGTATCGCGGTGAAAACTTGATCGATCCTCGACCGATTTTCTTTCCTTCTTTTTTTTTTTTTAACGAGTTATTCGGCCTGGCGCCGAAATAGCGTTGCGTCCAGAACGCCTGGAAATCGAGCGCCGACCACCCGGTCAGATTCCAAGCAATAAATTAGGTCTCCTTTCCCGATACACGACAGAGGGGCCATAGAAATTCATCATTTTTTGTTTTGACACCCAGCACGCTCCTCCGGCAATTTGTTCTCGCGCGCTCTTCCGCTCGCGTCATTAATTACTTCGCTTCGAAACGATTCCCAAATGTCGTTCTCTTTCAATTTTTATGAAATTTAACATTTCAGTCTGATCTTTCTTCAATTTTCTGATAAAATCTCGTCCGCTTTCGTCGCACTTTTAACGTTAGAACTATCGACGCCTGAAGCATAAAATTTTCTATCAGAGATGTCAAAGTGAAAGAAAATCCTTGTAAAACAGTTGGGATATGCAAGCTTTTATTTACGTATTTTAAGAATCATTCAAGCCCCGAAAAATACAAACTGGCCTGTTCTATTGGTCACTTTGATCATTTCGATAGTTTGAGTGTTAAAATTTCATTCCTCCAAATTTCACAAAAAAACGCGATCACACGCGCTCGAGTTCGAATTTGGCCAGATTTCTGATTGCTGAATTAACAACGAAATAATACCGATAGGATCAAGCGACTGAAAACGAGAGAGAGAAAGGTGAGAAACGAGAGGAGAAAGAACTGTTAAACTGTCTCGAAGTGCGCGCTCCATTCATCGCCACCGGAATTTCCATCCTCTCGCCACGGTCCGGGCCTCCCCAATTAGCCTTGTCAAAAACACACGTCGAACCACCCCCGATGAGAGAGCAATGCCCCTTCGCCGCAGCCCCGGCGTGTCATCCGCTCTCTTGGTTCACGTGGCTGACAAGGAAAATGAAATTTCCCGCTGGCGGACGGAACAAACCGGGGAGGGAAAAGGAGAGGAGAAAAAAAAAAAAAAAAAAAAGAACCGGAGGGCCGTGGAATTGCGTCGGAAAAATGAGGCCCCCTTGCCCCTCGGTGACCGGGCATCCGTCCCTCTCGCCCCCTACCCCCACCCCCTTCCTTCTGTATGTTTCAAGGGCGCCGCAGAGCTGTGTTTTCGACCGGCCGGAAACTCTGCAAAGTCATTTCGAGGCCGTTGCAACGCAATAAAAAGAACGGCGAGGGCCGCGGGTTGGCAATAAAGGCCAGTGACGCGGTTAACTGAAAAAAAAAAAAAAAGGAAGAAAGAAAGAAAGAAAGAAAGAAAAAAAAATCTATTTTTCCGCTTCGGGGCGCGGTTATCGTCCCCCTGGTTCAGTCTCTCTCTCTGCGCGGGACCGTTGACAAATACGCGGCCAATTTGATACCGGGGTTTCTTCCTTTCTCGCGGTGGTTCTTCTATTATTCTTGGGATGAACGCGAGACGGCGTGCTGGGTTGACACTGGCGATGAGCGAGGGCGACGTTAATACGACGGGAGAGCGAGAGGTTGGTTTAATACTTTCGGATGTTTTGTTCGAAAATGTTTGGCGAGATTTGATAATGATAATCGTGTTAGAGTGAAACGGAGAATCGTGAAACGTACGTGGGCTTGTTCTTGCTTCACAATTGAAACGACAATAATGGAATAATGATGGATTTAATAATAGTAATCGTTAGAGTGCGTTTAGATGTTCATGAAAAATTGGAGAACGTGGAATGTACGCTATTCTTGTTTACTAAATTAAATAATTAATCAAATTGAAATAAATATTTTTAAGCTTGGAAATTTATCTCTACGAAATTACTTTAAAGAATAATTTGAAGTTGCGTGCTTTGGTAAAGGAAAGAGAAAAAGGGTCACGCGGGTTTAATCCTAAAAGCTTACGAGATCTCGACGGAGGAGATTTCGAAATAGTAGCGAAGTGTTTGAAACTGGCGAGAGGAGGCTCTTTCGCTCTCTGCGAGAAGGAGAAACAAAGGGGATAAAAAGAAGAGAATCGCCGCGCGAGCGAAAAATACGAAAAAAAGACGAGCACTCGCGGCATGAAAATAAATTCCCAAACGGAGATCTATCCTTCGCGAGCGAGACGAAAGGGAAGACGTATGTATGTACATTCCTGAAACCACCATTCGTAATCCAAACAGTCGAGTATTAATAGGCGGGAAAGAAAACAGTGAAAATTTTCAGCGACCGGTGTCTGACAGTCGTCGAACAGCTGACACACGGACAAGTGATCCAGAAATAAATTTTTCTCGTCTCGCGAATTTTTGCCGATTGCCCCGAGTACAGTAATCCTCGTAATTTCTTTGGAATTGGGCTATTTTCATTTTTCTTCTTCTTTTTCATTCCTCCAAAAAAGAAAAAAGAAAGAAAAGGGAAATAATGAGAAATAAATACGTAGAGGTTGAAGAAATTAAATTTCATCTTTGACTTTCAACTCGTTGCAACACCATGTAACCATGAAAATTATACACCTGCGCGAAATACGCGTGTCTACTTGAATAAACAAACACTTGTTTCGAGCACATTTATTCGCCATTATACTCACCCGGGAATAATCTAATCGTTCAGCAAAGAAAGAAATCAAAGGAACGTTTCACGAGGGTGTTGGGAAGTTGGACCTTCGCACTCACTGTCCCCTTGTCCCGCCTGTCAAATCACGATCGTTCCATTTCGCAAGTACGAGCCATATGATCGCCGACCGTCTCTGAATCATCGTTGCAGAAAATATCCACGACCGCGAGTAGGTATAAACCCACTGCGTGCTTTCACCTTTGAAAAAAAAAAAAAAAAAAGGTACCACCAATTCGTCGCGTCGCTTCGTTTTGTCCGATTGCCCTCCGGAGAAACCTCCTTTCTCGCAAAAAAGACTCTCTCTTTCGAGTCACGCGACACGAGAACGAAGAAAGAAAGAAAGAAAGAAAGAAAGAAAGAAAGAAAGAAAGAAAGAAAGAAAGAAAGAAAGAAAGAAAGAAAGAAAGAAAGAAAGGGGGGACAAAAAGAGGAAAAAATAGAAAAAAAACCACGAAACATCCTCCTGCGGAAAAGAAAAGGGAGAAACACGACGTCGCTTTAACCGCGAGTTAGAGTTTCGAAGCACGTGGAAAAAATGGCAACCTCCGCTGGGTACGCGACAAGACGAGGGCGTTACACGCGACACACATTCGCTCGACTCGAAAGGAAAAAAAAAGAAAAAAGAAAAAGAAAAAAAAAAGGAAAGGAAAGAAAAAGAGGCGCCGAGGGAGCAGAAACAGCGGGAAAGGAAAGAGACAAGGAGGGAAGAGGAAGGAGAGAGAGAGAGAGAGAAACTAAAAGGCAGAGAGATAAAACAGAGAGACAGGGACAGGGATGAAGGAAGAGAAAGAAAGAGAAAGAGAGAGAGACAGAAAACACGAGAGTGGACCAGCTCGAGGCAACAATGCCTTTTTCGTCCTTCTTTTACTTGCACCTCACTAACGACCGGCAGCACACGTTGTCCAACCTTCCTCCTCGTCTTTTTTCCACTCTCTTTTTCATCTCTCGACCCGTTGCTCCATCGTCGAGAACGCGTCTCTGTCCCTTTCCTCTGCGACCCTTGTTTTTTCTATGCCGGTACACAGGAAGCCAGCAAGCTTCTGTCTCTCTTTCTCTCTTTTTCTTTCTCTTTTGCTTTATTCCTCACCCTTTCCTTGCACCACCTTCTTCTCACTCTTTTCTTTGTTCCTTTTCTTCTTCTTTTTCGTCGTCGCCGTCTTCTTCTTCTTCTTCTTCTTCTTCTTCTTCTTCCTCCTCCTCTTCTTCTTGTTCTTCCTGTTTCTGTTGCGTTTCCTTCACGCGGCCACGGCCGTGCGGAATTCGAACCGGGGTTCGATTTGGCGGCACCCGGTTTGAGCCGGTCGGCATAACTGCGTTCGAGTAGACCACTCACTCCCGGACTCGTGGCCTCTCGCCTCTTCTCTCTCTCTCTCTCTCTCTCTCTCTCTCTCTCTCTCTCTCTCTTTCTCTCCCACTCTCTCTTTCTCTCTGTTTCGCTTGCTCAGTTTCTCGCTACCACCTCTCGAACGTTCTTCCACGGTACTCCTCCCTCTCTTTCGCACCAGTTTGCCGATCTTTCTTCATCCCGCGCCAATTTATCGCTGTCCTTGTCGGTAGTAATGGGTTCGAGGTGGTTGAGTTGGCTCGTGCGAGATTGCAAGAAAGGGGAGTGTCCATAGTTTGGCGATTTTTCGACGCTCGACGATCGACAAATGGCAAGAGGAGGATCGTAACATCCGGGGCTCTCGAAGCACGGATAGATTTGACGAACAGCACGAAGATCAGGGTATCTATGTTTAGAAACCTTGGGACGGACGTCGTATCCGATTTAAATTGCAAAAGAATTGGGTTAATGTCCCCGATGTAAATCAGGTGGAGCTTTGTCACTAACGGTGATTGTTCCAGAAGCCTCGCGAGAGTGTAGGACTTCGAACAAACTGGCTCAAGGCTCTAGAACCATAAATTTTTTATACACTTTGAAACATTCGGCGTTCCCAAGTATAAACGTTTAAAAGATTGTCAAATCTTCGTTAACACACACACACACACACACACACACACACACACACACACACACACGCGCGCGCACATACACACAAAAAGAAAAAGAGAACAAAAACGGTGAAAAGTTACTCCGTTGACAAATTTAACCGTCGATCGACTCGTTACCGAAAGATCAAGAAGTCTAACCCTACACTTGCGTACGTCCACAATCGCTCCACCTCCGCGAAGAAACCAACCACTAAATCACCGCGAGGGAACCGCAAGAACGACTACCGCGTTCCAAGTCATTCTCGAACTCTCGAATGTAGGTCTCGGCGATAGTCACGAGGTGTCCTCTCCCCGGTGGCAATCGAATTAGTCCCATCGCTATCATCACCCTGATCTTCCGCCGCGATTCTTTTAGCCTTGTCCCTCTCGGCAGCGGAGCTCCCCTGTCCTCCACCCCCTCCTCACGCGTCTTCGCTCCGTCTTCTTCGTTTCGTTTTCTCTTTCGTAAACAACGTGGCTCAACGTGGCTCAACGTGGCCCGACGTATCCCGATTTTCTCTCCGCCGCCTTTTTTTTTTACCCCTCCACGCGCTGTTGTTCCTCCCCACCCCCTTTCTGCTTCCTTTCCTCTTTCTCCTTCCGGCACACCCTTCCTTTCGACGCCCAACGCGCGCACACGCGCGTGCATCTTGCACGTACACGCGTGCACGGTACGCGATAGTGTTGGTAAGGCGAGCCACGCTATCTTGCCGATCTAAAATTACCCCAGCAAACGAGAAACGGCTGCGAGCCTCTCTCTCTCTCTCTTTCTCTCTTTCTCGCTTCTTTCCGCGCGTCTCTGACCGCTAGCACGCGCGCGAGTTCCGCCCTACCAGGTAGAGGATCGAGTCGCACTCGCTAGCTGCGGATCGGTTTTCTTAAGTGGCCTACTCATGGTCTTTGCGTACGCTTACCGCGACCGATATATGGGGATCTTAACCCCATGGATCGGCGGTCCCCCAAAGCCGATAGCTTTGTATCTGACGAAAGTCTCTCCGTCTCTCGACGATGCTACGCAATTTTTTTATTTTCGAACGTTTGTGTTCTCGTTGGTTCTCGACTTTGGTTTTTTTCAAATTAAGTCCAGCCTTCGAGACGCGTGAACGCGCGTTTTTTTTTTTTTTTTTCTTTTTACTACAGCGATCCAGCGCGCATGCGCAGTCGCGACACGATCCTAACCTAGACACGCTCATTTCTACCAAAGTTAAGAATCAATGCAAAGTTTTATTGGGTGATGGAACGCAGCGAGCATCAGTCGTCGAGTGACTATAGTCATTATCGTCAGTAGCGAAAAGATTAAAACTTTTGATCGGTTTTGAGGTCTCAACTTGAGAGACCGATGGATCAGATCCGTAGAGAGAAGTGAGGAAGATTCAGTAGAAACCGTGCGATGGTTCACGTGAATACGATTTAGGAATTGGCTCGTTAACGCAGTTGCGTTTGTATGTTGATTCTTTCGTGAGTTAGGGAAGTCCGGAGTAATTGGATACGTTTAAGTTGGGCGATGAATGTGGCTTTTCTTTTTGTGGATGAGATGCGTAGGGACGGTCACAGTGTCGATTTCAGTCTCTAGTCTGTCTTGAATTCACTCACGATTTCTCATTCGAGCGTAAAATTTCTTTGATCGAAATGACCAATTTGTAACTTTTTTTTTTTTTTTTGGATGCAAGACAGTGCATTTTTAGAAATTTAAATGATCTTTCGTAAAATATAAGAATGAAAGCTTGTTGTATTATAAATCGGAAACATCCTTGATGGAAATTTCACATTTTAATCGGCAGAAAATCGTTAGGAAACCTAGTCTCCTAATCCCCAAACGTTCAAAGGTAAATGAAACTTTCTGTTCCTTCTATTTCCTCCGCAGTATTTCAAACAATTCACGGTTCGAATCTCAACAATTCTCGCGCCGAGGATTAGCGAGAAGGGTTGATCAAACGTCGCACTCGGCGTTGGAGAATCGGTTAATAACCCGTGTAATTCGACGAACGACCACCGTGATAATTACACGGTATTGTTTGCAACGAGTGGCCAGTGTCCCAGCGGAGGGTGTCGCGGTTACGGCGTTTAAGTTCCGGGGCAGAAGATAAGCGGAACGGCGAGCGCGCTATGCAAATTCCTGCGGCGCGTTTCACGCGCCATAAACTTATGAATGACCGACACTCGGACTGATGCGCTTGCTCGCATGACTCTCCGCTCGTGGCTCGATCCATAAACATGCGATCCGGGGAATTTCGCGTAATCATTGCAATCGCGCGGCGGCAACCATGATCGATCGTACGGATGGAAATTGGACGTGAATGACGCGCGTTTCTAGCCATCGAAGAAAATTCGTTGTTACAATAATAGTTAAAAAAACCACTCTCACTTTGCGATCTTATTTCCTGTGAACTTTTTTCGATCTAGACGAAATGTTTATCTTTCTCGACGTTTCGCCAGTCGATTTAACGTTTTTCGCAAAAAAGAATCTTTTCGAAAGAAATGAGAAAAATACAATGAAATTAAAAATTCTCATTAAAAATTTATTATTACAATGTGGAAGAAGTGGTGTAGTTGAATCATTTATAACGCGAGGCAAACATCGCGATATGAATATGGATGATACAAGGCCAATTCTGTGTAACATGGTACCCATAAATTCTATGCCATTAATTTAATGTAGAAATAAATCACGGAATATGTAAAATCTTCTTTACCGCATGAAAGTTAATTATTAATATACATTATAATGTTATATGTTATATTATAGTGTAATGTATATATAATGTAGCTGACAAATATATATTTATTTATAGCGTAAAATTCACTACGGCATTTGCACAAGACAAAGCGTTTACCTTGCAACTTCATTTAAGACGTATATGCCAATGCACCGTCTATCTTTACCCCGATTTCCCAGTTTCCAACAAGTTTCGACTATCCGATTCTCCGAGCATCCACCACTGGATTCGTCAAACTTGTGAACGAAAACGCAAACTGGCCGCGGTCTTCTAATGTCTTCTAATCCGGCGCGAATCGGACTTATTACACACGTGGTGTACAAGTTTTAAAAATAAATCCGTCGAATCTGAATGCACCTGTCTCGTGTTCATCGTTCTCTCCGATCTCTCGTCTACCTACCGGGTTGATCGTTCCCGGAGGAGGTCAAGCCCGGCGGTGAAGTTTGGACGACGTTCAGTAGAAACAGGCAGTCGCGGTCCGGCCACTAGGTGGCCTACATTCAGAAGTTAAATCTACACACCGGTGTTCCAGTCTATTATAAATTGGACCGTCGACGCGTAAGTGCCGGGTGCCGCGAAAACAGCGGCTCATTATTCCGGTCTTCGATTCCTCGGGGACGAAAGACTCGGAGATTCGAGTCTGGTGTGCCGCTGTATGCGGCTGTTGGAGGAGATTGCTCGGCGTGTGAGCTCAGAGAATTCGAAGATCCCAAATTGTTTCTTGATACATTTATTCGCTAAGTAACATCGAGCTTTGACAATTTTACAATTTATTTATTGAGTGTGCAATAATAGGTGTTGGGGAAGATTGTTCGAGACCTAAGAGTGACGGTGAAACGCACTTTTCGAAAGTCCTAAATTTTTTTTCCTTGAGCTACTTAATATGTTTTGCTCGTTTCTTACTTCGTAAATTCACTTTGTAAAATAATGTTGAACTTTTTCAATTTTATTGACGTTAGTCTCGTCGGTATTTGTAATTTCATTGATTTATTTAGAATTAAGGGAACATCAGAATTTCAAGATTAAAGAAACGCGGTCTATTTGGCAAGAAATGTGTACATGTTTATTATTAGGTGCGACCGTCTCCGAAGGATCATCACATGCATGAACATTTAGAAACTGCATATGTACATTGGTATTTTCTCGTCGAGTCTATTTAGAAACATTGGACCTAAATAACAACATGCATTTATAGAAAGTTATTTAAAGTCTGTTCGCCGCTAATTTATTCCACGATACTCGTTACGGTCACCCGAGTTTCCGGATTGGTGGAATTTTCGCAACTGTCAAGAGCATTATTTACGAACTGTCTATTCTGGTAACATGAAACACATTAGTCAGTAATATACATTTTGGTTTGAAGGATCTAGATGACGCCTTAGGCTGTGTAATGAGGGATCACAGCTAATCATTCGACACACTTGCTCGTAATTTTCATTTATTGACCAAACTATTCTACACTGTTGTCGCCTCGTTCAATAAAAATTGCAATAAACATACGTATAGCGTGTATATCGACTGATAATCACGCGCAACGATTTAACGTCTTAGTCTACAATCAAGGACGCAGGATCAATCATTCGACACTTGCTCGTAATTTCATCTATTGACCAAATTATTCTACATCGTGCGATCTCGGTCGTATTATTTTATAAAAATTCCAACTATATATATCAACCGATAATCACGCGCGATGGTTTGATTAAACGGCCGGTGTGCAATTTGCCGGGGATGGCCGCGACTGTGTTGGCGCTCGAAGAATGACGACGAAGAAAAATGCAATTTCGCCGTGGACCGCCGATTCGGGGAATTCCAGCGTGCCCCGGCCGGACAAACAAAAACGAGTTAATTAAAAGCTGGCTGCCGCAGAATAGGTGGAGAAACGAAGCCCCGTGGACACACAATGGCCCCCGCGTTTCCTGCGTGCCATCCGGCCCTCTACGTGTATGCATATGCATACGCATTCGCACGGAAGATGCAATTTTTCCGTCCGCCCGGGAATGCATATTCCCCGATCCGTCGATCACAAGCGGAGCAATTTTGGACAAGCGGTCACCATCACCGGCTCCTGGGGAATTTCACTGCAAAGGGGGGGGCGGGAAGAGGAGGAGGAGAGTGGTCGCCACCGGTTGTGTTTCCCCCGTGGATTCGTCCGCGAATTCGTCGCGTATTTTGTTCGGATTCCGGCGACTCGCGTTGTTATGCGCGGGTTTATACTCATAATATGCAGTTCGTTGGCCATTGTTTCGACGATGGTCTCAGGACCACCCGGCGGATCCCCGAATGTTTATTCGAATTCCAGACTGAAGAATCTCCAGCTTGAGAGAGAGAGACTCTCCCTTCCCAAGGTGAAATTTCGCTTTTTTTCTTTTTTTATGGTTTTTGGAAAAGACACGTCAGAGTGTGACTCGTTGAAAAATGCACGTAAATCGGTTGACGATTTGTAAAAATACTCGTCAGAGTTGTTAAATCGTACAGAGTTCTGGTCAATAAATATGTAGAAGTAAAGTGAGTAAACTTAG